CACTAGTAATAACATCTCCGGCAATAATGACATTAGTAATAGCATCTCCGGCAGTAATGATACTGGTAATAACATCTCCGGCAATAATGACATTAGTAATAGCATCTCCGGCAGTAATGATACTGGTAATAACATCTCCGGCAATAATGACACTAGTAATAACATCTCCAGCAATAATTACACTAGTAATAACATCTCCAGCAATAATGACATCTATAATAACATCTCCGGCAATAATGACAGTAGTAATAACATCTCCAGCAATAATGACACTGGTAATAACATCTCCGGCAATAATGACACTGGTAATAACATTTCCGGCAATAATGACATTACTAATAACATATTCGGCAATAATGACACTGGTAATAACATCTCCGGCAATAATGACACTAGTAATAACACCTCTGACAATAATTGCACCAGTAAAAATGTATTTGTTAATAATGACACTAGCAATTATGCAAAATGGAGAAAATGGCACCAGTAGTAATATAAAGTGAGAAAAAATATTACGTAAAAATCATAATAAGACTTCTTTTTTCTTTTCCTAAGGAGTCGTGTCATTTTAATGTGTCTTTTCTTTCCACTTTGCATTATTATTGGTGCCATTATAACCCTGTATTTCTTCTCTAAAGGCCTCTAGACATTTTTAAGGCCACCGATATGAATTGGGTGTTTATAAACTTTAAAATAAGTAACCAATATAGTTACTAGAAGTAAATACAAATGAAGAAATGTGGCAAAGATGTTGATGGTAGTGCTGCCCATGTTTCAAGAAGACAGGCCTTCTGAATCCTTTATTGTTAGCAACTGGACTCGGGGGGGGGGAGCACAGAGTTTCTGTAGGACTATATATATATATATACCCTGAAACTTAAAAAAAAACTCACTCTTTGTTCACCACTCAATTCACCCATGAATTATTTCAATATATCCCTGTTTTTTATATAATTCTAACGAAGGTAGGGCAACGTATATACTGCAAAAAATATTATTTTTTAGGTGTAGGAAGAAATATGATAAAACGATAGGATATTTTTCTTATATGTCAAATAAACAGAACGCTTTATCACCATAATACACGTAATAGAAATATATGTGACGCACAGGTCCTGTACATGTATTTTTTACTGTTGAAAAAAAACACTTTACATATTTGAACGGTTCGTGTACTGATGATTTACTTAGATATATATATAACGACATTTATAACAGCGCAAGTCATTCTACATAAAATGTGAAAAATATATACCTACCGTTAAAATGTGAAAGGGCAATATTATTTCGATACAAAGGTGAAGGGGACATGTTCCCCCGGGTAAGCTACTTTTACACTGTAGTGTAGTTTGAGTTTCTTTTTATGTTGCTATTTTCTTACTCCCCCTTTAAATATAACCGCGATTTGGGTTTGTTTGTTTTTTTCAAGTGATTTCTTACAACATTTTCTCTTTCATTATATTAATTATGAGGTTTTTGAGAGGGGTATCATCAACAGTTGATGCGAAAACACGTGACTAACAAGGAGAGAATATAGAAAAAATTAGAAACAGGTTATATTGTGGTGCTTTGTGAGTTATCGCACTTCGTTTTAAATTGCTATTTTAAGAGAAATATATTAAATTACTTATTTATTTCATACAACTATAGTGTCCATTGTGTTGAAAGTTGTCCCTCACACAGCTTAAGATTGTCTTTGTCTTAACCATTTCCTTCCTGCTCAGCCGGTACTTTTCTGTTGCCGCACAACGCGAGAGTGATTGATATAATGTTATAATGTGACGGTCAATCCCACTATTCGTTGGTAAAAGAGTAGCCCAAGAGTTGGCGGTGGGTGGTGATGACTAGCTGCCTTCCCTCTAGTCTTACACTGCTAAATTAGGGACGGCTAGCGCAGATAGCCCTCGTGTAGCTTTGCGCGAAATTCAAAACAAACAAACAAACAAACTTTATAAAATTAATTTTTTATTATACTTATATATTTTCTGTGAATTAGCTGTCACACAAAATCTCTTCGTTTGTCCTGTGTTGTCGACCCCTGGTATAGAGTAAGATTAGTGTTTTCGATTTAATCTACTTGTAATTAACTTACGAATTTCACATGTAAGTTCACAAATAATAATATGTTTAATAGTGGCATCGGGCGTGGGATAGTTGTTAGAGTGCCCGAAATGTGAATCCGAGGGTTCGTGTTCCATTGCCACAGAAGCTTTCTACACTTTGGGGGCGCGGACAAATTCCACTGTTCGATAAGACACGAGTTAGGCTAAGAGTTGGCTGTGAGTGCTGTTAAGTTGCTGCCTCCCCTCTAGTCTATTAGTTCTAAATTGGTTAAATAAATGGGTGTATCAGCTTAGACTGGAACTTTCAGATCTATGTGTTAATAAATTTCCTAATCAACTACAACTAAAGGAAGTCATGGTTTTTATGTAATGTTCCTTTTAGTCTTCTGAACTTAAATACAACTGCAAGACATAACCATGTTAAACAATGTCGAATTTGATGAAATTATAAGATAAGTTTGTTTCGGAATATTCGCGCAAAGGTAAATAAAGGGACTATCTGGGCATAGCCAAGATAAATAAAGGGCTATCTGGGCATAGCCAAGATCAATAAACGGCTATCTGGGCATAGCCGTTCTCAATTTTGAAGTGATATACAAGAGAGAAGCCATTTATTCAACAGCACCAACCGCTAACTCTTGATCTACTCTTACTTGAATGAATTGTGGTATTTGACTCTCACTCTTATAACGAACCTATGGTTCCATAGTGCGGAGTGCTTCTTTTTTATGTAAGTAATGGAACATGAACCATGAATCCTTCGATTCGCAGCTCGGACACCTGTGATATGTAAGGAATTGAAAAATTCTTCCTTTAGTTTCATATGGTGTTTTTATCTTTGGTTTATAAATCTCATGTTGAAGTCTTCAATTCTCCATAAGATGCAGGATAATAACCTGAAAGCCATGCTGAATTTTAAAATGGTTACAGAAAGAAACGATAAAAAAAACACGAAAAAAAGTAGATATATATACACAAATAGCTTTTTCGTGTAACATGTTTGTAGGTTAATTTACAGTTTTAAGTTCAGTAGTTGGTGAATAAATTTATTGAAATTAAACCTGTCGATGTAATTATTAATAACACCACAGTATGTACAAACAGAGAATGTTGCTGAATTATAATATGAAATGCGTTTCCCATTCTGACACGTTTTCAATAGACGTTCAATATGTCAAAAAAAACCACTGCACTTTCTATAGTTACTTACAAATATATTAGGAATAAAGAACTTAAGTACCGTTTGTATTTAGCATACTCAGTCATATTTCTATGAAGAATTTTTTGTTCGTTGTTAAGTGCAAAGCTAAAGAATGTGTCCTTCCACCGCAGATATCGAAACCCAATTTTTAGCGTTACAAACCCTCAAATTTACTGCTTCCGGGAGGGAAACGTATGACAAATTACAATGCCTTTCTTCACACATATTTTAGACTATCAATTTGTAGACAAAGTATAGGGATATATCAGTTAGTAGCCCCCCAGTAGCACAGCGGTATGTCTGCAGACTTACAACGCTAGAATCCGGGTTTCTATACCCCTGGCGGGCAGAGCACAGATAGCCCATTGTGTAGCTTTGTGCTTAATTACAAATAAATAAATAAATAAAATAAATCAGTTAGTATACCTTTACACGAATAAACATAAACCAAGTCATGCTAATCAAACTTACAAAAGTCTAAAGGTACATGCAATGGGTTGGGGGGTGGGGATTTGTCAGTCAGCATGAGATGGCACG